TCTTGGTCCAAAAGCTCCACGTCCGGCTGGGTCAGAAGGAAGCGGCCTGGCGGGTGGATCCGGCCAACGAGTCGGGGAGCTGCTTCGTGCAGAGCGGGCGCTGGCACACCGGGAACCGTGTGGTGGTGCCCAGCGTGAGTCGCACGAGCAAGGATGTGGAACTGTCGGCTAAGTACAAGGCCCCCTCCCTCTCGATGGACTTTCAGCGCGGGGCCCGCGGGAAGCCCATCACCCGCGTCAACTACCGTGAAGAGATGCACAACTTCCTGTTCCGGGAAGAAGAAGCTCAACAGCTTTTGATTTCCAAGTAAGTGGAGCTCAACCAAATCAAGACTGGTGGGATAATGTGGGCTTCGAAACTTCTCCCCAAACCGAAAGAAATTTCCCTGATTTTAATCCCCAGAGAGGAAGAATAGCAATAGCAATAAAGGAGATTATTTGCAATATTTGCAGAATAGTAATAGCGCTTTAGATTTATATACCGCTTCACAGTGCTTTACTGCCCTCTCTAAGCAGTTTGCAGAGTCAGCCTATTTGCCCCCCAACAATCTGGGTCCTCATTTTACCGACCTCAGAAGGATGAAAGGCTGAGTCAACCTTGAGCTGGTCAGGATTGAACTGATGGCAGTCGGCCTGCAATGCTGCATTCTAACCACTGCATGTCCATGGCAGTAGAATAGAAGATAATGGAACAGAACAAACTTAGCAATGGCATTAGCAATAGCTTTTAGACTTATATACTGCTTCATAGTGCTTTAAGCACTCTCTGGGCGGTTTACAATATCGGCATATTTGCCCCCAACAATCCGGGTCCTCATTTTACCGACCTCAGAAGGATGGAAGGCTGAGTCAACCTTGAGCTGGTCAGGATTGAACTGATGGCAGTCGGCCTGCAATGCTGCATTCTAACCACTGCATGTCCATGGCAGTAGAATAGAAAAGAATGGAACAGAACAAAATAGCAATGGCACTAGCAATAGCTTTTAGACTTATATACTGCTTAATAGTGCTTTAAGCACTCTCTGGGCGGTTTACAATATCTGCATATTTTCCCCCAACAATCCGGGTCCTCATTTTACCGACCTCAGAAGGATGGAAGGCTGCGTCAACCTTGAGCCGGTCAGGATCGAACTCCTGGCAGTGGGCAGAGTTAGCCTGCAATACGGCATTCTAACCACTGCGCCACTAATACAAGTGAATGCTTAAAGTTCCTTTAATGTGCCTGAAGATGTAAAGACTACAGGGTCCCAAATTGCTAGCTGGGGAACCCACCATCTCCTGGTGATGGGCCCAAATCACCAGCTGGTTTTCATGCTTAAGTTAGAACTAGAATTCACCGTCTCCTGGTGATTGGCCGAAAGTCACTTAGTCAGCTTTCGTGCCTAAGGCAGAACTAGAACTCACCGTCTCCTGGTTTCTAGTCTAGTACGATCAAAGTGGGTCTCTTGAATTGCTGGAGAGAGCTCCCAACACAATCTCCTCATATCTCTTGATTGTTTACATTGACCTCCCTTTGCTTAGCCTTCCCAAAATGTCTTGTCATGTAGGTTGGGGATAATGGGAGCTATGGTCAAACATTTCCAGAAGGGATGGCACCAGGCCAAAGAGAGAGAAGCATCTTAAGATCTAGAATGCCCATCCCTTTTGGAGAGTGAGGACATTACAGGGAGAATATGGGTAGAATGGGCATTGTCCCAGTTCAGGGGTAGGCAACCTTGGCTCTTTTATGACTGGTGGACTTCAGCTCCCAGAATTCCTGAGCCAGCCATGCTGAGGGGAAAGGGAGAGGTTTCCAAGCTGAGCCATGCTGGCTCAGGAATTCTGGGAGTTGAAGTCCACGAGTCATAAAAGAGCCAAGGTTGCCTACCCCTGTCCAGTTGCTTTTATCTTTTCCTCCTGCCCCCAATTCTTCTGCTCATCTTCCCATGTCTGATCTTCTTCTGATCCAGGCTCAACCTGCATGCGGTGGTCTCTTTCGTAAAGTGTGTGGAAGTCTTACCATCGGGATTGAAGTTTGCTCCCCCAGGACAGCTCTACGCCCAGGTCCCGACCCCTTACTCATTGACCATGGACTCTGACGAAGGGTACCTGCTTCAACGCTCAGTCAGAACAGCCTTCCTGGCCCAGGATCCACCGGCCAACAACCGAGTTTACGAGGTCTCCATCGAGAAAGAAGGACTTACTGAAAGAAGTGTCTGTCTTCTCCTTCCTCAACGTTGCTGCACGGAGCTGGGCCTCCAAGCAGACACGCGTGCCAAGATGGAAGTCCAGTTCCAAACTGACCAGTTCCAGTTCTGTCAATGGCACCAGGCTGTGGACAACTTGTGGGATGTGAAGCTGGTCTTTCCAGATGTGACCACCTGCTCCATCCCACGTGGTTCTTTGCAGGTGCCCTGGGGGAACGCGAAGCAGAAGCAAGCTCTTTTCTTCATTACGGGCCAGGTGACCGAAGTCCGTAGAACCCCACCACTTTTGATCTATGGACCGTTTGGGACTGGGA